ACACACACACACACACACACACACACAATTTTCTTCCAAAAACCAGAAATATTTTGTTTCAAGCTCACAATCTAAATGTTAGATATTGCTACTAAACCATTTATCACTTTTAAACCAACAATGACAAGGACGATAACAATATTCATTTAAATTGAATTTTTTGAGGAGTCCTGTCTGTCTGATTGCTAGCCCCTTCTCTAGTGTAAGAATGAGCTGAATCAGATCCAAAGAAAGCAGAGGAGTCAGTCTTCTCCGAAAACTCTGAGGTGGTACCTAGAACTGCCAACCATCTGGTATCAAACCAGTCTGGAAATTAAGGCCTTCATTAAATGTCTGATACAACTCATTAAAGCAGGGATTCAACAGCAGCAGCCACATTCACTGTATTCTCAATTTTCTATACTGTCTGGGTCAACAGTCAGTGGTGTAAACAGCTCTGAGAGCCACCTCTGGCCCAGCCTTCCAAATACTGGTTCCGCTGTAAGCAGGAAAGAAAAAAATGAAATGAGAGTCAGACAGAGATGGGAGGAGAGGTAATAAAGAAACTGCTATTCTGATTCCTATAAATTAATTGAGAATCCTTATTTGTTCACAGAACACACTTTAAAAGATTTTAGAATGCAGACCTTCTTATCCTATTTAGGTGCAGCTTTTACCATGTTTAAAAAGAAAAAAGAATTCAAGTTCTGCTTGTAAAAAAGAACCAGCACATATGGTCCTTAAACAACTTTGAAAATATTTTTCTGTCTTTTAACTGTCAAAATAGTCTTGCTAAGTACATATAGTATTTAAACCAATAAAAGGAAAAGGACAAATATCTGAACTTCTTACCCAGTGTCTTCCGACTTCTTTCCACAGCTGTTCTTCGAGTTTGCTCAAACATAGCTTCCAAGTCAAATGTGCGAGCTTTTTTTCCTAAAACAGGAGCAAATGACAGACTATGACTATCTTTTAATAAGCTGGCCAAACTTCAGGTATTTAATAATTACTGGCTGATCAATAACCACTTAGGCTGTCTACTTTCTATCAAGACTCCAAAATAAGAAGAAAAAAATCAAGGAAAAAGGAATTTAGATTACAGAGAATTTTTTTTAACATTTTACTTTATTTTATTTATTAAATGTGGTGTGCTGAGAATCAAACCCCGTGCCTCACCAGTGCTAGGCAAGTGCTCTGAGCTACAGCCCTACAGAGACTTTTTAATGGTAACCTCAAATACTAGGTATAGGTTGAATATCGCTTATCCAATGCTTAGAACCACAAGCATTTCAGATTTGGGGCTTTTTCAAATTTTGGAATATGTGCACAGATTTTACTGGTTAAGCATCCATAATTCAAAATCCAAAACTTTTTGCACACTGTCATAATGTTCAAAAGGTTTGAATTGCAGATGTATCAATTAGGAATGCTCAACCTATAACATTAAATGGCCAACTTCCTTATACTTCCCTGATTTATCTGGATCCTTAACCATGGTGTGTTGAGCAGAATGGAGAATGTCCACACCTTAATCTCTAAAACATGAGAAACTATTCCAAGTGCATGGAAAAGGGATTTTTCAGATATAATTAGATTACAGGCTTTAAAATAGGGAGACTTTTCTAGTCAGTCCATTTTAATCACAAAGTCCTAAAAAGCAAAGATGAAAAACATATCTGTTTTTCAAAGAGATTCAAAAGCAGGAGAAGGGCTCAAGACACTGAAGTTGGCTTGAAGACAAAAG